TTGCTTCCGCTACTGTACTTTAGTTTTGTTCTCTTGTTCCCTACGTATCTTCATAGGGACAGTCCTCAGTAATAGACTCAGTTGTCTATTCCAGTCTTTAGTCTGAAGCTTTACTTCAATCAGTATACACTCTCAAACCACTGCCAGTTGCAGTGGCTCAGTCTCTAAGTCTAGTTCTAGTATAGCACGTCAGCCTTATGTGTAGCAGTACCTTTTGTCAGTAGTAGTCTTAAGTGGAACTCCTGATCCTCAGTCGTCAGGTCCCTTAACAGACACAGACATGGCATGGCAAATATTAAAGAGTGTGAGGCAAGCAAGTGTGGGATGTGCCATAGTGCAAGGTCAGCCCTCAAAATAATTTTCTACCTAATAATTATTATCTTGGACCAACAACAAGACAGTCATTTCAACTCTGCACAAGGTTTAGCATGTGCCAGGCATGGGTGCAGTTCAAGTTGGCATTGCTTCAACAGAGCTAGTTCCAAGTCATCCAGCGCTGGTTGGCTTCATACATGGGAATAGAAGAAGATGCAGGACATCATTGCGAGAGGCCATTACTAGCCACTGGGATGTCAACAGGGTTAGCAGGGAAAGCATTGTCATTGAATCCAGGGAAGGGAGCAGCAAGCCCAGTGAAGTAGCTGTCAGGGTAACCAGTTGGAATAGTCAGAGCAGCCATGCTGGTAACACTGTCACTGCCATCAGTCATTGAGAAAGGAGTGGTGATCCTAGTGAAGTAGCTATCAGAATGACCAGTTTGAATAGTTGGAGTGGCCAGAGTGGCCAGACCAAGTCCATCCTGGTCAGCCATAGAGAAGGGAGCAATAAGCCTGGCATGAGGTGCAGCTGTGCTGCTGCTGCTGCTGCCACCAGGAGCAGTAGTAGCTTTGGCAAGTCAGTACAGTGTCAGGGTCACGCATACAAGGAGATTATACCCGTACTGTTGTTTGTTACTCTAGCTGCCCCACGAGCGACATCTTGCTTTCCTGCAGGTGTCTGGATGATCCCGCGCACTTGAGCCAGTTGGAGGACACGTGGGAAATGGTCAATAAATGCTGTGATCACATCTGGCTTCAGCATTTACCTGTGGTTAGAGTCAGCTTGCACACCAAATCCCATAACACCAATGTACACATAATCAAATAAATCCTGCTCATTGTTGAAAACCAGGATTGTATTCAAAACTGTGGTAGCAGTGGCCTGTTCTGCTGGTCCCCGCTCTACAGGCTTGTCCTTGGCCTTTCTCTTTGCCTTGGTTTTTCTTTTCTCTTCACAAGATGGCATATTGTCCTCATCATTGGTGAGTACTATCACATGAGCTGTCTTTTTCAGCTTTTTGCATGCATGGCCAGGGTCCTTTTCATCTACACTTGCGTTATTGACAACCGAGACCACTGACATGATGACTGAGGGAGAGGAGCAACGCACCCTGTGAGCTTCATATATGCGGACCCCCAATGCTTGATATTTGGTGAGGCATTGCATGTATCATATGATTACATGCAACCACCATCATCTACTCTTCCCAATCAGGGAACAATACAGGTGGTCAATAGACATTGACACTGCCCACTGGATATTGATCATGAAGAGTGTGAAGTGGGCAAGTGTGGGATGTGCCCTAGCATGAGGAGCCCAGTATACAGGCTCAATCATGAGCAACTGAAACAGGCCATAGACAGGATAACAATCTACAGCCACAATGAGGAGGGTGGGCAATCAACTCATGGTGGGGTGCAGAGCTCCCCTGTTAAGGTTAAGGTGTGGTCAGGTGGGGGAGGTGACTCAGATGACCTCATGGTCGAGTGATCAAATGGTGTTGAATGTTAAAACACCAAGGCTTGCAGGCACAGGGGCACTGGGTGCAATGCTGCATGCATGCATGCACACAGCGGCTGGGTAGAGGGAGTGGCTGCAGCCAGTACCTTACAATCTCCTTAATTCTGTACCTGTATTTGTATAAGCACATACTAAGAACCATAGTACTACATGTGCCCACTATGCTCCTACGAACCAGTGCACACCCCTCACAACTTGGGTCAGTGGGGATGGCAGAGCAGAGGTCCAAAATTGTATGTACAGTGTCACTCACATGTGTGCAGTGCAGGTGTGGGAGCAAGCGGACAAGCATCTGCGCCATCTGTACAAGGTTACAGCGGGGCCAACTATCTGCAAGCTGCACACGGCCTCCCCCCCAGACATCACAGACTGTGCACACCACTACCTGTGTCTCTTGCTGACTGTGCCGGATGTCCAAGCATTGCTTGGACATAGTCATGTGATGGGGGAGTGGACTTGGAGGGGTAGGGGTGCACAGTGAGCAAGACAGTTGTAGCTATCGGCAGAGAGGAGAGGGATGGGCCCTGGGTTGGTGGTCACAGCAAAGCGGGTGTGTCAATGACATCACATTGATGTGGCATGACGATGGGCACCAGGCAACAGTTCAGACAGTAGGGGCGGTGGTGATGGGTGGTGGACAATGAGTGCTGCTATATGGACAGGTGCCTGCCCTGAGAGTGGGGCGGTGGGCCAACAGTGGGCAGGCAAGCCACAAGCCACAGCAGGTACTTCATGGGAGGTCAGTGGGTGAGTGATGCAATGTCAGTGCAGCCGTTGATGCAACCTTGGGAAACCTAACCCTAACTCAGGGGTGTGAAGTAGAGGGTAAGTTTCTGTTCCTCGGGGAAGCTGACAGGGGTGAGGGCTTGTAGTTCTGATAGCTCACTCGAACGGTGATGACTTCACTATGTTTTCTTGGGATGGTGTCACGAGACTGTTTCGGACCGTCTGAATACTCCGACTTCTTGTAGAAGCGGAGGAAAGGTAAAAAGGGAACCAGCTCGATGACTTGAACACAAAGTGCTATTCGATCATGTCTCATTCGAAGATCGGGCATAGGAACAGGACTTCAGAGTACTTAGCTGAACATATAGGTGTGCCTCAAAGGGGGGTGTACTGGGATGGGATGCAGTTTGAAGGTTGTAGGCACAATTCGGAAGGTCACAGACATAGTTTGGAGGGTCGTAGTTATAGTTCATAGGGAGACACAACACTTCGAAGAAGTTCAAAGCCGGACTGAGCTCTGCTGAGTGGGGGATTTGATTCTGCATGAGTCTCACTACTAGGGGCCAAGTGCTGCATTACAATCATGTAAAACCACTCTTAAATATCCCTCATCCTGCCCAAACCTCCCAAGTCACCGCCTCCACTGCCCTAACTGTGCTTAATGATCCCAATATCCTTCCTACTCCTGTACAATGCCTCCATCAGTTTTGACTCCCATCCCACGTGCTACACCTGCTAGTCTCGGAGGCCTGACCATTGCGAGTCTTGGTGTCGCGACCTGAGCACACTGACCTAAAGGTTTACCCGACGGCCCTGTATCGTATGTCTCAATCTCTAGATGATGGGGTTTTGTCCTCAAAGTCAAGCCCCCGGAATAAAGCTGCCACCGCAAAATCCCAATAGAATCATAGTGAGATAGCAAAGCTTCAAAGATGTCGAAGAATGGGCTTTGCTCAAAGGTGTTTTTGTGTAGAGGTATAGCAGGCTTCACCAAAGGCAGAAGCTTCGAACACTTTGCATGTTGAGTTAGACTTGAGGCACGCCCATACACTATATGGGCCTATCACCATTGCAGGTCTGGGGGCACCGTCACACTGAACACATCAGATAGTGCATACTTGGGCAACTGTTGAAATATAATATTGGCAATAAACCTTACCTGTGTTGACTAGACACAAGGCAAGTAGGGAAGG